TCCTCATTTTCTCCCACTTTTCCCTCTCCTAGAACCCTCCCCCATCATTCTACTTTTAATGGCTATGAGAACTAAAAAGTTACCCTTTAATTTTAGTTTAAATCTGTCTCCATGATTTTTCAATTCACTGATCTCAGTTGGGTTCACAGACACTACACAGAAAAGGCTGCCACATCTTCATCATGACCATTTTCCAATGTCTAATATGAGCTATGATTCTTGCTTTATCTTCCAAACTACTTTTCTTTAATTCTCTCTGAGGGGGCTATTAAAATGCAGTCATGTTTCCCTACCTCCAAAAGATTTGATCACCCCTGTCCTCTGTGTGTGTGTGTGTGTGTGTGTGTGTGTGCCCATGCGCGTGTGTGTACACATGTACACATGTGGGTGGTGTGGTCTGTGTCTGAAGCTGAGTAGTTTTATCAACTTGGTTTCTGTCTATAAGATTTTTGGAGTCTGTAGCTTCCTTTAATTTTTAATTTTAAGCTGTTAAAAAGTATCCATAAAGATGTTGTTTCTAGAATGTATTAGGGGAATTCACTACAGAGGAAAGTTTCCTTTCTCTAGATAATTTTACCTCTATTTGGGGGCTCCAGGATGGCTGTAGGGAATCTATACTTACCTGAACACTTCAAAAAGCCTTTTGTTTAACTAAATATTCAGATTTCAAAAACTCTTTCCAAGGTATGAGGAAAAGGCTGACCAGCCAAACTTTTCTTTGTGTTGTTTGTTTGTAAGAAAACATCTACTTGGCATAAATTAATTGTACAAGAGGTTTCATTGTTAGATTGACATAAATGACATATATTAACCCTAGATCAAATGTGCTCCAGCTTACTCTTTCTAACATGCTTCCATCCTGTCAACAAACTTTTAAGTTTTTTTTTTTGTTTACAGCATGCTTTCCTGACTGTGAATCTCTTAAATTTCTCATGCATTGGAATCTGGGTGAGCTGAGAACTTTAGAAATCAAGAGCTAGCTCTTTGTTGTTGTTGTTGTTTGTTTAGCAATCATTTCCTTATTTATCTCAGTGCTCTCATATTTTCCTACATGGTACTGAACTACTTTGCTTGGCAATGTTTTCAATTGTATGTTCAGTCTCATTTCTTACAAGTTCTGCTGACCACATAACTATAGGGCATGATTCTGCTAAAGAAACTAGCCACTCCTTAGCAAGCATTACCCTTCATCAAGTAACACAGCTCTCATTCCCTTCTGGGTCCTTACCAGCAACCACTCGATTGTCCAACATACTGGTAGAAAAACTGATAGACTACTCATGATGTTCTTTGTGTTCTCTAAGGCAATGTTTTCTCTACTGTGTTTCTTGTTTCCTCAGGAAGCAGATATGTTCATATCCCTATTTCCACTGAGAGTCTGTTTAAGATAAGGAAGGCTTCTCTCATCTTCTGCCAGTTTCTGTGCCTTGCTCAATTCCAAGGGCATTTCCACACTTGTATTTTCGTTGTACCTGTGCCCCACTTTCAGGCACCAAGGTCTACTATGGTACAACTAGAAAAACAGAACTGAAGGGAACTGCACAGTGAGAGGTTTATCATCAGGAATAGGCTTTTTTTTTTTTTGATTGATTGTGGGGAATCACTAGGCCAGTCCAAAACTTAGAGGCAGACTGATAGAATAGGCAATCTGAAACTCTCAGGCAGGGGCTGAAACTTCTCAGTCATGAGCTAAGAACTTCTATGAACAGGGAGAAATACCTCTCTGCCTTTTTCCTCTTCCTTCTTTGAAGACTTAGCTCCTTCCAGATGTAAAGCTGGACTGAACCAGGGCAATCCTGACTACCTATCATAATATCTCTAATTTATAGCGAATTGATTATGGTCTTGAATGATATATCCTCTCTGAAAATCTATTGGATTGGGTATCCGTGCTTCCTACATCACCCTTGGTAATAGTACCTACATTTTTATTTGGAGTACCACTTCCTGCTTCAGTTCTTTTGTTAAGGAAAGACCAGCCCTCTTCCCATGGTTTATTTTAGAGAAATGGCAATTTTACAAAGTAGACAGGGGATTAATTCCTGGACTGTCTTAATATTCCAACTCATTGACTGGACATGGATAGATGTTCTATGATCTATATAAGTCAGTGAACTTGACTAAGTTTGGTGGTTCCAATTGTACTGGTTGATTGTTCAAGATTGCAAGAGTGGAAAGGTAAGAAGAGCAATAAGAGGAAAGAAGGTTTATTAAGAGAGAATAGGGTCATTGAAATCATAAAACATTTTAAGATGTGATGCATCAATAATATTAACTTAATAACTGGACAATATTTATGTTTTTTGAAACTAACAGCCAAAATACTTGGATAAAATATTTTATCCTCCCTAGGTAACTGTAAGTTCAGTCATGATTGATTGCTCTCAGTAGGATAGGTATTAGTGCAAATAGGCAGTTTATTGATTTTTTTTCAAAAGAAAATCTAGGCGGGCTCATTAATTTCTTTTTCCAAATCAAAGGTTTCCTTGTAAGGTTTTTTTTTCCCCTTCACTCAAAAACCTGAATGAGTCAGAGTGTTAATATGTTTTGTACTGCTAAATTCTATCTTATTATAAAGATGTTTTTCAATGTGGTAATAATTGTTTAGCAGATTGGTAGTGATTTATTTTACTCATTTATTCATTCACAACTCTATCAGGTCTCAGATGAGCCTCATGCATTGTGCCAGAGGGCATGAAATTCAAAACTGCTGTTGTCTTGAATATAAACTCTACCAGGAGCTCCTGACTCAGAGCCTGGTTCAGGAAAGATGCTCAATATTAACTACATCATCAGAAAAAAAAATCCATGTAGGATGCAGTTCTATAATAATAGTAGCATGTAATGGTACATGCTTGACTTTGAAATATTACCTGTGATTCAAACATGAGACAAGGGCTTGAACCTTAATATTTCATTTCCATAGAGCAATTATTCTTCATAATGACAGGTTTAATTGTGTTTATTTTTAGTTGTTTACAATGAATGAAATGATAAGTTATACTTAGAGTTAATATCATTTTGATGACTAATACTGGCATGAAACCTTGATACCACAGTGGACAATGATTTGGGACTCTATGAATTTACCAGTAGTTGTATTGTGCTAAAAATGTCTGTCTCATCTCTAGAAGTTGAACTTGACCTGATTGGAAAAAAAGAAAAAGAGCTTTTGTAGATGTAATCACATTAAGGATCTTGAGATCATCCTGAGTCATGGAATAGTCTCTAAATCCAGTGACAAATATCCTAGCATTAAAGACTGGAAAATAACACAGACATAGAAAAGATACATTGGGATAGAGGCAGAGACTGCAATTATGCAGCTACAAGCTGAGAAAGAACTATGGAAGAAGCAAAAAGAAGTGTCCCCTAAGCTGATGGTGGTAGTCTGATCTGTGGCTTCCTAGCTTTCCCAGGAAACAAATATTCTAATTTACACAGATTATTTGTGTGAATTATTGTGTGAATTATTTCTGAAGGATTCTTTTGTGTTTTTTCTTCCATAATCATTCAGAGAAGCCAGTTATTGTTTCATAATAATTTAGAGAAACTAGTGTTTCTACTCCAGTTCTTGCTTCTATCTGTCTGGTTTCTGATGCTTGTTGAAAACCCAAAGGTTAGAATTTCTGAACTTATTTTTGCCTAACCTAGAAAGCTCCTATAGTGCACAGACATGGACATTTCTGAATGATTGGTCAACAAATGGTTGGAGGTCCACAGGCTTTTTCAAACAAGTGGCATTGGTCATAGAGGCTATTTCTATGAGGGGAAAGTCCCATGAAGAATTCCAGAAGTGGGAAGCTTCCTTCTGCAATTCAGGACTATGCTTCCTTTTGAAATGTGGCAGGGATAAGGAGCCAAAGACCTTGGTTCTGGCCCTACCCAGCTTTGGTAGTCTACAAGTCTCTGGTGACTCAATGAAAAAGATGGTTCAATTTGATTCTCAGAGGCCTTGAATTACAACCATCCACTCAATCTAGGGTATGTCTCGTTTTCTTTATTCTCTCTCTTTTATAACCTTATTTTCTTTCAGATTACCAGGTACAGTTGGGTATTTTCTGCATTGCTTACTTATATGCCTGTCCTCCTACCCCCAACCCCAAGTTCAAACAGCACAATATAACCGGACTTCACGTATTGTCGAGCACATAATATATCCAGAATAAAAAAATACATTAAATCAAGACAAATAAATAAGTGGAACATTTTGATCAGAGAACAAGAAAATACCTTTGTACTTTGAGCATGGAGTCAGAATGTACAAGGACAGGTTTTTGTTTTTTTTTTGTACTTTCTACGTCAAATGTCATTGAATTTCAGGATGGAAAGAGAAACAAATGGTTATTAGCTCAACCATGAATACGCTCTTCCTAACAAGCATGGGCAAAATACTAGCTACTTGACTGCTGTTTTTTTTTTTTCCATGTCACTTTTCTATCCCTTCCATTGGTGCCATCTCTAGTGCAGCCTTAGACACACCTGCTGTAGTGAAGGCCTGGAAATCTGGCTGCGGGAGGGACAGAGGATCCTCAGTGCCAAGCTCAAGACTGAGAGTTATTGGCTCAGGGTGGCAGTACCCAGTTGCCTGCTGGAGGGACTGGTGACACCAGTTCAGGCTGGGCTTGTCGGGATCTCTTTCCGCACAGGGCTCCGAGGCCTCTCCTGCGCGGGGACACCTGTGCCCACTCGCGGCAGGGACCCCCGGTGTCGCCCCAGTCACATAGGCAGCCTCCCTCTCCACTTGCAATTGGAACCGCCACTTAGGTCGTGGGGCGCACGCAGGGCGCCACCCCCCTGGCTCCCGCTCCCGTCTGGCCCCTCCTCCCTACTCCTCCTCCGCCGCCGCCCCGCCCTCCCGACTTTTCCTGCACCTTCAGCCAGGAGTTTGGTGCTGCCCCATCCCATCGCCGCCACGCAGGGACCGGAGCGCGGGTGCCACCGCCATCTCTGCTTCTGTCCAGGTCGGACTCCAGGATCCAGGTGGGACCCGCTTCCCTGTCCTCCATCCCGCACTGCCGCCTCTTCCAGCACGGCACCACGCCAGAGTCGCACGCTGGGACGCGTGCTGGCGGGCACAGAGCCCCCTGGAGATTTGGGGAGGTGGGTCCGCTTTCCAGGGCCCCCAGAAGGATCAGCACCCTGCCAGGCTGTGTAGATCCGGTGGGATTCAGGGAAACCCCCCTAGCTCCCCCAGGAGCAATGAGGAAACAGCGCATACCTACTATAGCCCAGAGATGGGGGTGCACGGGGGGCGGGGACGGGGGATGCAAGGACGCGCACCCCGATAACTTTATTCCAGGCCTTCCGTCTACTTTGGAAATGGAAGGGACAGCCAGGTAAATCAGGAAGCCAGGGGCCTAGGGGATGGATTTGGGTAAAATTTGTGTTGTGGGGGTGGCTTAGACCTCAGCTTCCGTTTCCACCACACACTTGCCCCGGAGCAAACAAAAAAGCAAAATAAAAGACAAAAACCCAACCCCCCCTCTACTTTACCCCCCCCTCCAACCCGCAGCTTAAGCCTAACTCCAACCCCAACTAGTGCATTTACTTAAAGGGGGCCCCAACTGAAGGACTCATTTGGGAAACAACAGGTAGGGTGATGCTCTTTAAAGAACTGGTTATTGCAGGTGCTAGTTCGCGGACTCGGTTGTTGTTGTTGTTTGTATTTCTTGTATGCCTGAGGGGGTTCTTTGTCCTGGGAGAGCTTGCCTGAAGTGTCCACAGTATTCACATCTTTTGAAACAAATGATTTTTCAGAGCTCTGAACTTGCAGTTGGGAGATCCGAGTTTTGGCAGATCACTCACTGACTAGCATGTTGTGCTTTGGCTGGACTTCTATTTCTCCATCTTTCAAACTAGATATTTAGGTTAAGGTAATTACTGAGTATTGTTTAGGACTATTTCCTTTAGTAGTATCTGAGGTGTTTTCCAGATGAAAAAAGGGATGTTTTAATTCTTTAACCTGTTATAAATATTGCTAATGTCATGAATCCCCAAATCGGTATTGATCTCGGCATTTGGGTTATTCTAGGTATTTATGCCGTGTGCTCTCAGGATCTTTCCATCCTAAAGTTATAGAGAAAACACGTGTGTAAGAAACCCAGCACCATGGGACTATGTGAAGATAAGGTGCCTCATACTAACCTAAAGAATTGTGTTTACTTGAAAACGATACTTGCAATGATGCACAACAAATGTGGCACAGCTTTTCTTCTGTTTTGGAGAAAAATAAAAATTGCATCTTTTAATTGCTACCCCTGAATATTGTTTGTTACATTTTAGCATAAAGTTGTGTGCAGAATATTAAAAAAGTGGTTTCAGACCACTTCAGAGCCTCTCTGAAATTAAGCTCAGGATCACAGATGCCAGTAATACATTTCATTGTCTTGGAATGAATCCCAGAAAATAGCAGAGGTTAACTAAACAGATAAGCCAGAAATTAGGAATTGACATACAGAAACACAAGTTGTACTCTGAATGTGTACTGTAAAGTGTCAATGTAACTTTGCTTCCTTTTTGAGAAAAACAAAAACACAAACCTTTGACTTTGTTTGAACAGAGAAAGATAGGCTAGTTTCTGTCTCTACTTGTGATGTTGCTAGTGCTTTCAAAATTATTTGAGACTTATTCATTGCTAGTTAAGATAGGCATAGAAGTACTTCTGTCTCTTTCAGCTGGCTTTGGAGTAAAATAATAAAAACAATCTGTCCCACACTGAGGTTTGTGTGCAGTTTGGGAGAGTAGAATTGATTTGAATTACTCTTAAGAGCATGTTTTAACTTATTTTTGATGTCTTTCCAACCTTGGACTGGAATGGCATCCGTCATTCAGGCATTTTAATTCCCTATCTCTGAAGTAGATGCTTTTCTCCTTTGAAGCAGATGCTCAGAGATTTAAGCAACTTGCTTGTTGATTGCACAGGGAGTAGAACTTAGACTCCCTGACCGGGAGATGCCTGGAAAACCACTGGGACTATAGATAGATCTGAGAGCTCAGGGGCCACAGCCAAGTCATTGATGGCTTGGGCGTACCATTGTGGTTTTGAGATGTGGACCTTTGCCCTTCAAACTAATTTATTGAGATAAACACAGTCCTCTCTTCCCACTTAGGCCACTGTTATAGGACCGAATAGTTGTATTTGGGAAACGCAATAGCTTTGGGAGGTCTTGGAAATAAGATTTAAAGATATCCAGAAAAAAATAAAAAGTAGTCTTTTGGCAGATATTGTACTATATTCTTTATTCTGAGAGCCAAGCATTCATACTTAAAAAAAATGTCCTGTGGAGTTAGAAATGAAGGAAAAGGCTTAAGGTTGGTTTTAATTCTTAAGATTTTGTGTGATTTACAAATTCCGATTTTAATTAAGTTAGAAAGGCACAAATGTTCACCTACTGGTCAGACTTAGCATGTTTTGGAGTTTGTATTCCAATCTGATCCATTTTTGTTTGGAATTTTTCAAATATTTTTATGATTCAGTAGTAACATCTGTTTTCACATGCATGATCATATTAATCTGAAAATTTTTAACCCTTTGAGCTATAGCATATCTGAAGTGCTTACAACAAATACATTGGTTGACAATGTAACAAGTATTTTTATTATTATTATCATCATTATTAGTTGTTATTGTATAAAGCAGTTGTGATTTCATATGTCAGTTAGGAGTGCCATGAATCTTGATCAATGCCACACCTTCCATCCTTATTTTGTCCCCTTCCATCTTTACCCTCACGATATGTAATTCAATTTTTCACATGATGTACAATGAATATACTGACTGCCTTTGTTCGCTCTTATCCCTCCTTTCATGTGCCCTCTCTTTAACCTTCCTCCCAAAACACGTTGACACTTTCTGGCATTCAGCAAGTCATTTTTAACAGACATCTATAAGGCAAATACGCCACTACTTGTTAATCAAGAAAAAGAACTCTGCCAAAAATCATTTCTCCAGGCTGGGAATGTGGCTTAGTGGTAGAATGCTTGCCTAGCATGCATGAAGCCCTGGGTTCAATTCCTCAGTACCACATAAACAGAAAAAGCTGGGATTGGCACTGTGGCTTAAATGATAGAACTCTAGCTTTGAGCAAACGAAGCTCATGGGCAGTGCCCAGGCTCTGAGTTCAAGCCCAGGACTGGAAAAAAAAATTGTTTCTCCCAGAATCTTTTTGTCTGGTCCTTTCTTATCACAATGTAGTTTCACCTTATTTTTTTTTTAAATTTTATTTTATTTTATTTGTGAACAAACTGTACAGAGGGGTTACAATTGCATGGGCAGGATAATGCGTACATTTCTTACCAAGCATTGCAGCC